GTGGGCTCTGTGCTGCCGTCCGCACCGCCGCCTGCGTGACTCGCCTGAAAGCTCCCGCAGCTCTCCGTGCCCACGGCGCTCGGGAAGGCAGCCTCTGCCCCGCAGCACGCAACACTCGGCGTCTTCCCACGTCCTGTCCCGCCCCAGCTCTGTGTCCTGGGGCCTCCGGCCGAGAGGCGTCACCAAAGCCTACTGGCTGTCCCTGGCGCATCAGCAGATTTGTAACACAATAGAAGAAAACCCACTTTTTTTTTTTTAAAAAAAAAAAAGCTTTGTTAGAATAAGTAGCAAGTTGAGATGTGACCTTCCTTTCTTCCTTTTTTTTTAGTGACCGATTCTTTACTTCAAGTATTCACATTCATGTTTAACAACTAGCGGTTGACAATTAAAAAAAAGTTAGTATTGTTGGTACAGGAGTTACGTGGTGCTCTCTGCTGTCATGGCAGCGCTGCAATCTAAAGTCCTAACTCTGAAGTTTTATTTTGGGCCAATGTAATGAAACCAAGGAGCTTTATGTGGCACAGGGGCGAGGATACAGCAGGAGGAAGATGGGCCCATCTGCGTGGTTCTGTTTGGAAGGCTTCGTGGAAATAATGCAAACAAACTGCATCCCAAGACAATAATTATCTTTGTGTATTTGCATGGATGAGAAGAAGAGAGAAACTTAATCGTGCAGGTGTAATTGAGGTGGTGTGCAGTTATCTCACAGGGCTGAGGCGTGCTGGATTGCGAGTTACCAAGTCAAGCAAGCAACAGCTGTGCAGAGGGCAATTATTAAAACTAATCTCCTGCTACTTTTCCTTTATGCAGTCAATAAGAATTTAACATAAGGATGAGTTTGAGAAATGAGTTTTTGTTGTAGTTTTAATGCTGATTGTCCCAAATTTGCATATGTAAAAGCAGAATTTTGTTTGAGGAGTAGTTAAGGGGGTTTGTTATTACTTCTGCCCTGCGTATATGCACAAAAGTAAATCTTTTCAATGTTGTTACTTTCTTCTTGGAATGATGGAAACAGCTTTGTTCTGTAGCAGAAAATACAGCGGCTCTCCAGACATTGTAAATTACTGCGTAGAGCAAGTACTGAATTATACATACACAAATAACTGCATTGATAAAAGGATTTCTTCAGACTCATTCTGAATACTGGCCCGTTTTTATCCTTTCATTCAGTTTATGGTTTAGAACAGCAATTAAAGCAACTTAAAGTCGGTAGAGGCACTTTTAACATTAAAAGCGTTAATTGTACAAGACTAAATTCAGTCTCCACCTCCGGTTGCTCTTCTCCTCGGAGTCTAGTTTAATTAGCAGTCCCTTTAGGATAACAGCAAGCTCCATTTTCTTTCCGAGTTCTAATGGTCTATACTTCCTTCAGCACAACGTAAATCGTTCGCTAACATCAGTCAGTGCTTAAAATGAAAGTTTTTAAGAATCGTTTGGTAGCAATTAAAACTGTTTGCTTGACTGAGGTAACTACAATATTGAGATAGTAGATAATCTGTCCAGGAAAAAACAGTATGGCAAAAAGCAGCTGCTGTTTTAAAAAAAACATAAAAGTCAGTTTATGTTGACATCTATCAAGAGTAGTATTAGAGGGAAGGGAGGACGAAGAAGAAGAATCTTCTAGACTTGAGGTTTAAAACAGTGGGATTAATTGGCGTTTCGATTCCTCTCCCCAGTGGGTCACCTCAGCCCTTCGTCCTCCTCAGCCGGGTTAGCGAGCTGGCCTGAGCCTCCGGGGCAGAGCCCGAGAGAGGACGCGTTGCAAAGCTGAAGGCGTTCGGGGGAGCTCCCCACTGTCAGGTGCAAGGCCCCTTATCGCCCTGGGGGCTTTTTCACACATAAAATTGAAGAATTGGTGCCCAGGGGGTCACTGTGCGCGAGCTTCAGATCTCCTTTTGTACTTCTCCCAAGGACGTAGCTCCTGTCTCGCGGGCGGGTGCGCCGCGCGTCCGCTGGCGCTCCCCTGCACGAACTGCGCGTGTGCGGCGGATGAAAGGTGTCACTCTGAATAAGGGACGAAGCATATCGGTGAATCTCAAAAACAAATTCTGGAGCTGTAAATGTCTTTCCTTACAAATCTCTTGCAGAAATGTTCTGTCTTTAGCAGCTAGTTGTAGGGGGGGGGGATCTTTTTCTGAAGGTTAGAGATCATAGTCGCAGCGGTGGTTCTTAAAGAAAAGGAAGTATTTGTCAAATACTGATTTTTTTTTTTTTTCCTTAAAGAATATGGGCAATTGTAGTGTGAGAATGCACTGTGTTAGAATATTTTCAACTGTGTTGACTAGCTTTGCCCTTTGTGCGGGCTAGGACAGTAATGTCCAAGTAGGCACGTTAGCTGGCCATGACTGACCTTACTGCAGTTACAGAGAGTGGATTATGGCACAACAAGATGGGTGCCATTCATTCTAGCGCTGTAGGTGATCTCAAGAGTGTCTAACATCCAGGTTAGTTGCTGATCTGGAAGAAAGTACAGGACTTGTTTTGGATGTCCAGCAAATTACTCCGGTCTTAAAAGCTGGACCCAGGTCTCTTGACCGTCAGCCTCTTACCTGTATTCCAAATGATTCTGTACCAGGTAGACTTTTGTTCCATGCTTGGATTCAGGACTTGGGTTTTCCATCATCTTTGACATTGTCATGTGTATTGATTAATTCAGTGTACTTGCGGAGCATCAGCATGGAAGTGTAGTGGAACTTCTCAGACTCGCTGAAAAGTGTCTGTGGTCTCTGCCCAGGCCTCAAATGCCTTTAATTAGACTTTTGGTTTGTTGCAGAAGTAGCAGCATTAACAAAGCTCAGTGTTTCCTGCTAAATGTAATCCAGCTCTATCATAATTGTTTTGCTAAGTGACCAAAACGAAAGCAATCTGTTTGATGACTTGCAGTTCCTGTCATCGTTTTCGTTGCTAGCCAAACAAATGCTGTGCTGTAGTCCCATCACTGCTGAGTACTTGGCCATGGTTAATTTTCAAGTTACTACAAATAAATTATTTGAAAGTGTAAATACGCTGCCTCTAATGATGTTTGCAGTATTAAAAGGTTTGCTCGTAGCTGAAATCTCCATGCTAACTCAGAGGTACAGAGTGTTTAAATGTGCTTTTTTTTTTCTTTGTCCACTTTTTTTTTTTTTTTTCCCCCCCCCCCCCCCCCCCCTTTCTTTTGGGACTGTTGCTTCTTACAGGGGCTACGATGACCCCATCGAGACAGAGATGGTTGAAGAGAGGATACCTTACCTTCACGGTGGCTACGCAGCACCGCTGGCACAGCCGGAGAGAGGAAGCATGGCGAGTATTGACCGTCTGGGGAAGCGCTCCCCCTCCATTGACAGCATTCGTAAGGACCCCAGGTGGAGGGACCCTGACCTCCCTGAAGTGATTGCCATGCTCAGCCACCCTATTGATCCCGTCAAGTCTAACGCCGCAGCCTACCTGCAGCACTTGTGCTACGAGAATGATAAAATCAAAAAGGACGTGAGGCACCTTAAAGGGATACCTATCTTGGTGGGCCTTCTTGACCACCCAAAGCCGGAGGTCCACCGTAAAGCCTGTGGGGCGCTCAGAAACATCTCCTATGGGAAGGATAACGAAAACAAGGTGGCTATAAAGAACTGTGATGGGATCCCCGCATTGATCAGACTATTGCGAAAAACAAATGACATGGAAGTCAGAGAGCTAATTACAGGTCAGTGTCTGTAGTTTCTTTGATGAATTATCCTTTAGAGGAGTCCTTTCAGCTTCAGGAACAAGAATTTCTGGAGATCGGAGCATCGAAGGAGAATTTAGATGGCTGGCTGCAGCTGTTTCTTTAGCTGCACCACGTTTGTGGTGTGAGAAAGCCCGAGGCAAACGTGCCCTTCGGGAGGAAATCGCGATCATCTGTGCATGTAGCACGCTCGGGTTTCCCTGGCTGCTGAGGGATGAATGATGCTTCTTGGATGTAGTGTGCGAGTGCGCGTGGTTGGCTTACCGAAGCTTAAATGAGTTATAGCAACTTCACTGGCAGGTAATTTGTAGTGCACTTGCCCTCAGCGTGTTATAATCACGAGGTAAGATATGCTAATCTAAAACTTTCGTTGTTAATCTCTTACAAAACAATCCTGCTGCCATGTCCCCACTACTTCATATTGATGGAACAGTCAGTCTCCTCAGAAACACTTCCAGCCCCCCGGTGCTGGGGACTCTGAGGCTGTATATAAAGCTGCAGCACTTCTGGGCTGGAAAACTCAGATTTCAAGGAGTGTAGAGTCTGCTGTCGAGATGCTCTGGACACAGGGTTTGCTTGTTGCAATAATCAGAAAAGGGAGAATTACATTTTGAAGTTACTGAGTTTGTGCACACTTTGCAGGGAGTATTCAATCACTTATAACTCCATAATTCAACCTGTTTTTTATTTGAACTTAGTCTTGGACATTGTCCAAAAAGAGTAATAAAGTATATGCCAAGTTTCTAAGTTCAGCCATTAAGTGGAAGAGGGTGGAAAAGTATGTCAGCTCTTAAACTAAGGAGAAATATATTGTTCTTCAGTCTCCCATAACTCATGAGGAGTGAAATGGATTTCCCTTTCTCTTCTCAGAAGCAGCAGGGGATGTTTGGATGGAGATCGGGGCAGTTGCAATGAATTTCGGTGCCAGAACAGAATTTTTCAGAAAGTTTTGTGAATGCGAAAATGGATCCAGGGCTGAAACTGTTTAGCTACCTTGTCAGTGTTAGATTCCCCAGGCAGACCCTGTTGCAAACATGGATTAAGCCATTAGAAGTAAACATCATAATTCTGTAATCGCCTCAAAAAAATCATAGCAGCTCTCCCAAGGTTTTACTGGTAATCATAATTCTCTGAGATGAACAGTGGCCTTGGGTGTTCCAACTGTTCTTCCCCAGCCATTATAGGATATTTAGCAAACCAGGTCTAAAAACACAGTGTAGAAACTAGCAGGGATATTTTTGCAGTCCTTTTCCAGTGAGGTGGTAAGGGAGAGCTGTCTGTCTTGTCAGAGAACCTCTAAGTAGTATGTGCTGGCTGTGCTTTGATTGCTGCCTGTGCTTTGTCTCTTAACATGGAAACTCTGCAGGTAGTATTTATTTTCCATTTGTTGCACTCATTTAGTATGATGGCTGACTTAATTTTTGTTTTTTAATAAAGAATATCTGTTTACTGTTCTAGTTTACTCAAAACTCATTTCTGGAGTGCTGAGAAGGGCTGAATTTATTTCTTTAGGTTCAAGAAGGGAGAAGCCAGTCTATAATTTACTCTGAAGGAATGTCATTGTAATCCTAAGTGGTAATCAGTCACTTTTGAGATGGCAAAAACAAACTGGATGTTTTTCCTTTTCGCTCTAAATGGCGATTGCTTTGATTTCCAGTTGATTAATTAGTTTCACAGTTCAAATGCATTTTATTTGACAGTAGCTCCTGCTAATTAAATGTAGTATTTTTATTCCACTTTGGTTTTTTGCTATTTAAAGTTCTTCATTTCCCCTTACTGAGAAACACTAGGAATACCGAGGGCATTAACCTAAACAGATGTCCAGCAACAGATGATGTGCATTTAATCTCCACCTAACCAGGAATAATTTCATTCCACTTCTGAAATGATATCACCAGATCCGGTGCGAGACATTCAAGCATCAGTGTAGAAGAGAAGAGTATTCCAGCAATGCCTCTGTGCCTGATGCTGGTGTACTTGCAGTCAGTGTTCAAAGCCTCGGCTGATAATGTGGAATTGTCCATTCGAAAAATGAGCTCCAGAAGTCAGCAGGGAGAAACAAGAGCTAGCTTGAAGTGCAAAGGGAGCGTTCAGCCAGGGCTGCTACAAAAGGACTGTGTTTTGCAGCCTCCAAAATTCAGATCACAATTCTGATGTTTTTGTGGTAGGAATCTTGACTCCCTATCCGGGTACTTTTCCCTAGTGAGAACCCAAAGTCTAACCCCAAAGTCTAACTTTGCCATGAAAGTTTCTCATTCTGTCTGGAGTGAAGTCTCTGGGGACCTCTGCAGCAATGCAAAAAAAAAAAAAAAGAAGAGCACACAGGGTTTGCTTGTTTATTTCTTTTAACAGGCTGCAAGTTCAAGTTCGGTATGACACATTGACTCTTCTGTGGTTTAATATTTCTTTAACTCAATACTGGCTGCTTTTTGAAAGCTGAGTAGTCATCGTCAGCTGGTCATCCCAGATGTGGATGAATGATAAAATAATCAGTAATTTAAAGAAATTGAAGTAAATCAGATGTTGAAATTTCAGAGCACTTCCAGTCTTGAAGTTTTGCTTCTCTGTGCAGGACAGGAGGTACATGGGAGCATGCAGGACGACACATTATTTGCAGCTGGAGAGGGTGCTTTCTGGCAAGAGAGCGCATCATTCTCATCTAATTTGAGAGTCAGTCCTTGGCTTCAGTACAGCTCCGTGGCCTCTCATTAACTTGGTGGTCTGACGCGGCAGCCGCAGCTGTCCAGAACAGCATGAACCAGGCCAGCCAGCTGGGTCTGGTCAGCGGGTTAATGGAGTGGGAAGGAAGCTGCACCAATATGTTAAAAACACAGAAGAGGTAGATGCCGCGGCAGGGGAGCATGAGGGAGGAATCGGACGTGTGACGCTCAGCGCTGAATGAGCGAGACTTGATGTGTCACGAGTGTTCGCTTGACTGCTTCCCAGAATATATGTTTTGGGGAACGCAAGTTAGACAAACGTGTTGACGTGCAATTTTGGAAGCAGGCTGAGTATACTGATACAACACTACTGCCAGAATAAGCAAGTCTGTAGCTTTTTTCTTTCAGATAGCGCTGGTTTTAGCAGAATTTGAAAACTGTCTCTGGGTTAATGCCATATCTGCTTTACCAGATGTTCTCGATATATCTGCAAATGGCACTAAAACATGATGTCCCTCAAGGTAAGACAGATACATGAGGCATGTAAAAATACCGTCAAAACTCAAGATACAATCATAAAACACGACAGATTTCTTTCTTTTTGAAGCGTGGAGTTACAAAATGTCTTCCCTCTACTGCACTGAGAAAAGCTGGATTTAGTGTCCATAAGTAAATCATGAGTAGACTTGTGGTGAGAAATATTCCACAGATTTCTTCCTTGCACCCCTTTCTAGCTTTCTGGTGTTGGAACTGTACTACTGAACTTTCAGTGGATCATTTTCTTGAGAAACAGAGAGAAATGAGGATTCAGATGATAAGGAATTAAATCTGTTCTGATTGGGAAAGCTGCAAAAGTTTTATCTTGAGTGATAAGGGGTTTTTTTGCGGAGCAAATGTTCCCATCAGATATGCAAGACCAAAATTCTATTACATTCTTTGAAAAGCAATCAGAACTTGGTAGCTTTAATGAATAATTTTGTTCTTTGTGAGAACATTGAAAGTAATTTTGTTGTTTAACGACATTGCACTGACTTTAAGTGGTGCAGAACGTGATTTCCCTCATGCTGTATGTTGCCAAACTGGTTTTAATTGAAAAATGACTGACCTTCTAAGTGCTCTGCGGAGGAAATATTTTGATCTAATACTATAATAGAAATTTGCAGATTGATCAGCTTGCTCAGAATTTACGCCTTCTGGGCATTTATGTATGCTAAGATCCTGTCAGCAGATCAGACACTAACTTCTCTTTGAAGTACCATGCTGTCTTGAACTTTCTGATTACAGATGAGCTTACTCCTTCCGTTTTCTGTTAGAAAACTTGTCAGAAGAAGGTCTCTTGGCATGGTGTATTCCGTGGCACAGTCGTTCATGCTGAGGTTCTAAACTTGACCACTACTTCACTTGACGAAGCACAGCTCCCATCTTCGGGACGTAGAAAGACACAGGTCTGTCACACACATGCACACGGGACCAACGCGCGACGAGGTCCTCGGTGAACGTAATGCAGAGCACTTTATTTTCCCAAATGCTAAATGTTTTAGTATGGACCATAGATACAGAATTAAGCAGCTTCTTCATCTAATTTCTTGGTGACGTTGGATTTTTGCAAGTAAGCAAGCACAGCAGGAAAAGATTTCCCTTGGCTTTCTGAAGACAACAGCATGTGTTCTGCCACAGTTCCTTTAGAAATCTTGTCACAGCTCCAAGGACATGGAGATTTAGGAAATTATGGCTGTAGCCCTAATCCTTTTTAATATTACGTAAATCATATAGCTGTGTTCGTAGTAACTTTTAACATATTTTTACAATAATCAGTACTTTTGAGATAAAAACTTGTAGGTATTATCCCTGCTTCACATGCTGAAAGAGTAGAGGTAATGGTTGTAGTTAGAAAAATATAAGTATATTACAAATAGTATTTATGAATAAATTAAAGATTGATCATGATTGTGATCATATTCTGAAAAGCAATAGTTCATCTTCTTTCTCTAGTCCTAAAATTCATGCACTGTGGTCAAAAAGGCCAATAACTGTAGTGAAAGCGCATGGGAAATTTAGATAACTTCATTTCCCTTATACTGCTGTGTTAGTGACTTGTTTTCTCTCGAGTGCTATTTGTTTGAATTGATTAAACTTAAGAGTTTTAAAAACGGTGTCTCCGGCTTGTTAGATCATTAGTGTGTTATGCTAATAGAGACAGGGAATGATTTTTAAAGATGGACGTCGAACTTACAGGGACTTCATTTTTTTTTTTTTTTTTTAAAACTCAGGTTTTCTCTCACACTGCTAAAACCTACAGTCTGATCTGAATTTGTTCACTTTTTTTTCAAGTTTCTGTGG